GGGGTCAATCAGACCAAGACATTTTTTTTCAATATCATCATCGGCTGGCTGCTCATGAGCCTGCATCTTCTGCTTGTCCTGGCCGTGCTGATGCTGGTGCAGAATTCCTTGGTTCGCCTGCAGAGGCTGCTGATGGCTGCGAGGTCGTTGATCCTGCATTTGCCACCTGCCGCTCCAACCCAAAGGAGTAACCCGTGGCATCTGGCGCGAAGGTAGCGCGGGCGGTGGACAAGAAGAACTCGTCCAGGCACCCCATCAATAGCATTGAACGATGCTGCTCGCGGAAGACCTTGGGCCGAACTTCAAACCTTCAAACCTTGAGAAAAATGTAAAAAGGTTGAGCTACAATTGTCAGGTGACCAGAAAATAGATGAAAGATTTACTCAAAACAGGCTAGGCTGCAATGTGCGGGGCATAGGTCAAGTCCAACGTCCACACTAATCTCGGCAGCACTTTTGCGCCAAAGCAGCAGGCCCAATTTTGGAACTCTAAGGAAATTCCCTCATCTGCCATGCGCCACTTGCCAACTGACCCAATCGCTGGATTCTGGCTCTTCGTCAGCCTTCCAAAGGTGATTGGTCCTCCAGCGGCAGCTCATCATGAGATTGAGGTGGCCGGCCCAACAAGTGATGTCCCACCTCCTCTATGAGATCAGCCGGCTGGCGCGGTCCGCCATAGCGGAGGCCCTCTGCCGAGAAGTCATTTCTTCCTGGTCAGACCCTTTCCGCTCACGCAAGTAGCACCATTCACGCCACCGACTTGCACGATGGTCTTTAAACTTCAAGATCCATGTCTTCTCGCCGGGCTGGTGCACCTCCCTGTGAAGCTGTGGGTCCAGGTGGATGTCCATGGCTTGGCTGGCAAGGTGAAGTTCGAAGAATTGTTCAGGTCAAATAAGGTAACTTGTCAGAACCTTGTGAGCAAATTGCTATGTAATATGACGAGTTAATGTGTTCATTCTCTTGGTTATCAGACTGAGGTCATAATGCAATGTACTATTCACCCGAGACCTGATGGCAAAATGCCTTCGGAAGGAACCGTGAAAGAACACCAAGAGAACCATCCTGGCATTTGCAGTGTCCCAGTGTACCTGTCCCCACCTTGGCGCCTCCATCCACGAGCCCCAAGGTTGCTCGCCATGCCAGCCTTTGAAAAGGTTCAAGTACAAAGTCCAAAAACAAATTCTCAAATTCTCAAAGTCAGGTCAAAAATATTCAGAAATAAATTCTAATTGACTATTAACTATCCAGCATCCTATCAACTCAATTCCCAACCCCGCCTCCAAGCGATACCAAGGCATGAAGACAGCAACGTTTGATCAAACTTCGGACGCGCTGCAAAAGTGTAAGGCCTATATGTAATGTTATGACTCCTGAATGTAATGAAATCCATGAAATAAAAGAATACAGTAGAGTGAGGCTGGGAATCCGATTCAGATTGAACATCCCAACCTCCCCAAGTCACCAAACAACGGAGTCCATCGCGGTGTGACTCCATAATATCTGGTGTCTCAAACGTCGGCTTCGGATGTTTCCTGGTCCGCTCCGGTTCTAGTCGCAGAGTGAGTTGTGATCGATACGGACCCGCGGGAGGGAGGTATGGGTGGTTTATGGACACCTCTTTGGAACTACTTGGCACCATAGGCACGACCCGGGGTGAAGACCTGGGTGGAGTTGAAGACCTCTTTTGAATTGTTTTGACATAATTTCAGAGAGGAACACCCGTCTTTTCGCAAGAGCCAACACTGAAGGTGAATGTTTCTGCTTTGCAAAAGATCTTAAAGACGTGGAACAAAGGATTTGCAAGGCAGGCTCTCAGGCTCTCAACCTGGTTGAGAGGATCAGGTCTGCTTTGACGGAACTGATTGAAATTATTTGAAATTCATTGAATCAGCTCACTCAGGTCTTCTTCTTTGGTGCTCCCGTTTCTTCTCCTGTCACACCTCTGACGGTAGACTGTTAGACCCCTTGGCACCCACCCCAACTACCTTCACTTGAGGATTTCGAGCCCGAGGTTAAAGAACCCTATATAGACTATGTCCCATAACCCCAGGTTACGGATCCTATTTATTTCTCACCTGCCCTCGCCTCCTCGCACCTGGCCTCCTCCACATCGATCAGCAAGCCCTTCTCCTTCAGCTCACCGCTCCGCTCGAAGGGCCGTTCCGCGCAGCGGGTGTCCAGCGAGGCCGTTCCGCGCACGGACGTTCCGCCAGCGCCGCAGGTGGTGGGCTGCTCGGAGAGCTGAAGAGAAGGACACGTCCTGGGCCGGGCGGAGACGGTTTCTGGGCGGTGTAGCATCGACCTGTCGATGCTCCACAGCATCCGTGGGCAACATCGTCAGACATTTGTTGCTGTGCCTCACTGTCAATCTGTGGAACAAATCAAGCTGCCAAGGGCGCACCGGCACAGATGCTATTGGTCCACAGTTGCGCTAGGCTGGTCTACAGCTATACCCAAACGCTCCATGGGACTGCCATAGGACCATAGGACTGCCGATCAGTTCGGGTGGTTGACCTGGGGCAATGGGGTGGCAGTCCTATGCCAGTCCCATGGGATATACCCTCTCGGCCCCATGGTCAATGAACCCCCAGATCACCTGAAAGCGCCTAACTGACGCGTGATCCCTGCCGGCTTTCCTGACGCGCTTTCTCCAGGATCCCGGGTTTCCCAGTTGGGCTTGCAGGTGAAGGAACCCACTAAACCAGGGGCCTGGTCATGTTTGGAAAGGGTTCCCAGCGAACAAACGTCGAACGGGTTCTCCGCTGGGGAACCTTCCGGCCACGGCCACGACCTGGGGACCGACCTATCCGATCGAAGACCGGACCTGAGCGTTCCACGAGGTCGACTGCGAAGAAAGCCCGAGTGTCTTTGGGAAGAAAGCCCGTTCCTCAAACCTTCCACTCGTTCCGCTCGAACTGGGTGTGGCCTCGCGAACCCGATGGCGGGGTGCGGGTGGGTTTAAACATATGACTTCGATGAGGATCTCCTTTAAGTCCAAACCATCGGGACTGTGTCATCGTGACCTACATGGATGGGGCATGAAAACCGTGAAAACATGGAGGAAGTGATGGTAGCTCTTCCAGTATGGATCCACCGAGTTGGCCCGAAACCGAACCCGAAGAACGCGAGGACACTACCCGGACCGTATCCACCGCTCGAAGCGAAACAAGCGGCGACCCGGAGAAGGCAAAACATGGCAAAACGCAGTAGGTGCATGTTTGTAATAAGCTCGAAGCTTCAGGAATCGTGAAACATGAGTTGTGGAAAGCACCTTAAGATGAGTTTGCCTGAAGTTTCCCCAAGAGCATCCAATAACATAAGTTCCCTGGTTTCCAGCCTAGATTATATAATAATATATAAACAAATTGTTAAACAAATGTTTGATGTCTATACTGACCACAATGTCACAAGCTTGTGAGCGGAGGGCGGATGTTAAACTGGGATCTGTGGGAATAAAACGACCGAATGTCACTGTAGGGGGCTACTGAAACAAGCTTTCCCTCTCTACCTTCTACATCCGGGTCTTCTGGGAATCTCCAATTCATCAATCATCATCTCCCTATTCCTCAGCTTTTCTCAGCAAACTCTCCCATCCTTTTCCCGCCATCTCGGTGAGACCTCGTCACTGCGCGAGCACCACGCCGTCACGCCCGGCACCGGCTCCGTGCGCAGCGGATCCTCCGCGCATGCTTCGCTCGAAGAGGCGGCGCCCATGGCACTCGGACGCGACGTCGCCGCTTTTGGCGTTGGTCGCCCGGTGGGGAGGAACCGACGTGGCCGGCTGAAAGCGGCGCAAAACGGGGTGCCGGGACTGTTCGGTGCGCAGCGGTTCCGACGTGGGATGCTGTAGGGGAGGAGGTTTCTCAAGGTGGTGGTGGGTCCTGAGCGGTGCGGTTTTCGGTGGTCAACTAGACCCACAGCCAGGTCACGGTGAGCACAAGAAGAGCATCAGAAATACCCAGAAGTGGCCATTGTGGTCGACCTTCCGAAGTCAGACCTTTCAGCAGGTCATGTAAATCCCCCCAATAGTGGGAACAAAACGGGCATGGACAGTTGGTCAAATGTTGCAAGTTGTGAGTAGTGAGTCTCTCGGCGCAACTGGCGCCTGCAAAATTCCCGGAACAACGCGCCTGGGAATCCCCTGCAGGGTCATCCCCCCTTTCCTTGACCCAGAGGTCTCTCTTCTGCGGTGCTTGACCCAAAGGTCTATCTTCCCCAATTTCGGAGACCCGGTTCGAAAACACCCAGACTTCAAAGACCCTTAAGAATGAATGGTTGACCTTGTGACCATCTTCTATAGATTATAATGAAACAATAGGCAGTGCGTTGTTCGAATCCGGGAATAGACATGTCCGTCTGTTCGCACCGTGCCCCCCCTACCGTTCGATTCACCCTCAGTCCGCAAGGACGTCGGTCAGGGACGTCTCAAAACGACCCTCCGACAGCTGGGGTGATCCTAGATATCCCAAGAAGAAGCAAGTGCCGATGTTGGAAATACACGAAATCTATGGATCCACTGGCACCCCCTGAGAAGGTGATTGGGCACTCTTTTGTGCATTTGAAGGGTCCAGTCGTACCGAACCTGAGAAGGTACGTGGATCCATAGGGCTAGCTATTCCATAGGGCTAGCCAGCATGTTCCTGGGCAACCCATGCTCCTAAGGGGTTAGACTTCGACATATTTTAACATTGATTGAGGACCCCATAGTTCTCTATCATAGGATCTCTAGATTCAAACAAGGGAAAACACTGCCAGGAAAAGCATATAAAATTGAACTCGCATCAATTTATCTTCCCCACCATCTCTATTGGCCTGTGTCTCTTCCTTAACTTCCCCAGTCTTCCAGTCAGGAACACTTCCCCAGTCTTTCTTCCGTTTCCACCAAAACAAAACCTAACCTTTCGCCACAAAAAAACTAAACCAAAACACCCTGACATCAGCTTCGCCGAACGCCGAAAAACCGGAACCGCCGGGGGTTTCGGGCCGGGTGTCCCCAACGCGGCCCATCTTCCGCGGCAGCTTCAAGTGCCCAGGCGACCTCGACCGAGCGCGGTGGCAGAAACCGTTGCTTTCAAGCCGTCCCACAAACGCCGTGGTGTGTTTTAATGTGTACTTCATGTTGACCAATTTATAAATGGACCGTGAATAATACCATGATTTGTCAAACAATGCTGACAATTTTTGTTTACGGTCAACCTTTTTGTTTCAAAACTTCCTGGATGTCTGATTTGGCTGGAGCATTTGTCCTTTTAACATGTCGTATTTGAGCATTGCCATTTGTAAACTGAAATCAACCCACAAAGACTACCCCTCACAAGCAGGGCTCACAAGCAGCCCAAACCTTCAATTACTCCAGACCTCAAATAATACTAAACAAATCCTGGCTGGTTCTTTGGGTGGTGGCCTCTCTTTTCATTTTCTTTCATTTGCCTTTCATTCTTCATGTTCCTTTTGTTTCCATTTCTTTCGTGTTCTCATGTCCCTTCCATGTCCTTTCCTTTTACTTTCATTTCCCTTCTGGATTTCACAGACCCTTTTCTGGGTCTCCATTTGAGGCTGAGGGGGAGGGGACTATTTAGAGGCTGACATCAGGCCATGTCTCTGCTCAAATTCCTGTCCTTCCTTGAGTACTTTGCACTGAGTCCACTGGCGTGTCCAAAAAAGAGCATCAACTCCATTCAACTCCCCCCCAAAAAGAGCATCAAGGCTCGTCTTACATCTTATATACCCGATTTGAATGTGATCTGGGGTGTGTGTAAAAACATACCAACAAAAATAACACTGAAGACTGAAGAGTAACACTGTCCTTGTTGTCGAATGGGTCGCGGATCTTTGAATCCGCTCCTCCGTCGACCAATCGACCCTGGTTCAGCAGACGAAGAGCGACGTCGACTCGACCGATGTCGACGTGTAGGGATAGCGTTGAGAGAACGGAGAACGTCTGTCAGAACTGCAGGTTCTCCCGCATCAGAATCCAACATGTTGGGATTGAATGGTTGACAACTCTTCCAAGAAACACATAACAAGCGGCGGAGAGTGGTGAGTGGTGAGTGGTGTTTTTCAGCCCTTGGATTTCAGGTGGCACAAAAGACGACAGCTTTTCCGGTCCAAGCTCAGTCCAAGGGCCCCGGTGCAGGTTCGGTTTTGCTGCAAACTCCATGGTAGATTGGAGAAGCAAGTGGACGGTCAACAGTATGGGGAGCACCTTTGGGGGGAAAGAATGCCTCCCAAAGTCACGCTCTGGAAGTTCATAGATTTGTATACCAGCATGACGTCATGAGGTGTACAGAATCCAGAATGTATAATGTTTTACAGCAAACCCCCACATGCTTGCTACGCAGTGAGCTGGCCATTTTTGAATATCTATAGAATATGTACATGCCCGTAGAATACATGCATCCCATTTAAAGATACAAATCTGCAAAAAGAAAGGGATACATCCGATGTCATGTGGAAAACTGGTACCGTTGTGGAGTTGATGTTCTTTTTCTTTGGTTTGGAACCATATTTTGCGGATTGACCTTGTTTGGGCCTTGTTTTGGCCAACCCAACGCCACCCATGAAAATAGAGACAATCCAAACCTGAACCCCTTCAACCTGAATCATCCTTGTTCGCGGTCGCCACTGGTCGCTCTGAGGTCGCCACCAAGCAGGCGATGCTGGAGAAGCCATGGTCAACTCGGGACTCGAAGTGAAATGGTTCTTACTTTGCTTCCTTGGGGTGATTGTTGATTCATGGTTGTTCAATGTTATATTTGTTGTTGGGGTGAAATGGTTGTTCTGTTAGGGGTGATCCTCTTTCGGGTGATGGACATGTTTGTTATGCTCTGCAAGGTAGAACAACATACAAAAAAAAAACCGTTTGGTTTATGGATAAGATCTTCAATAAACCAAACTGGAGGGTTCGAAACGAAACAACCTGAATCATTGTTCATGGCCATGGTCAAACTTTTCTTCTGCCTGACAATCATTCAGCTCCCAATTTCCAACGTTTCATGCGGTTTTATTTTGCAGTTTGAATTAAACTGCGAGATCAATGCATGTGCGGCGCGTCCCGTTTCATTGGTTGAGGATGCCAAACCAATCCTCCCAACCTTGTTTTAAGGAGGTCATTCTGTTGTTTTCTTGGTGCATTGTCATCTGGACTTGGACTCGTTGTTGCAACATGTCGGAGGAAAATGCATGTCCAATGTTTTCACCAAGTAACATTGGCAGGCCTGATGCATGCATTTCTGAGACGCCCTGCCCCCCCCATCCCCATGGCCACCTTGACCACTTCAGCGTGGATCCTCCACCCCGTTTCGGTGTTTGAAATGAATATCCTCTACCAGCAGTCACAAAGGGGTGCTTATATAATGGAGGTTAGGGGTGCCCATTATCCACTCACTTGGGTACTACACACCACCCCTTTGTGACTCCTGGTCAAGGATTCACCAGTCATGAAACGGCGATAGAAATGCGCCACCATGGAGGGTCCACGCGCCAGTCGTCCACTCACGTGAACCGGTTTTCATGCGTTTTTCTCACAAAGATCGGCTCCAAAAGCATGCGAGGGAAAAGCTCTTGGGTCCTTTCCCCACCATTTTCTTCTAAAATCTAAACCGGTGTCACGAAAAACCCAGCTGAACCACTCGACCTTCGGTCCATTGCAGGGCTGAAGTCCGCATCGGACGACTGTCAAGTGCAACTGGATCTAAACCCTTTATTTTGTCCCCCAAAGCCTTAAGCTCATATTCATCCATATTCCATGATTTGAATGTTTCTGGCTGAGCAACTCCAACATTGCTGTGCAAAGGACTGTCCAATGCTATTCATTACAAAACCGTGATTAACCGTTTCTCGACAGTTGTTCATGGTCTTGGAAGGTTTGTGACACCGACGCAGTGAAACAACTTCTCCTTGGCAGGGCGCATCCCACCAACGCCTCTTGCGGCACCAATTTTTGCACAGGTGTGAGCCGGCATTATTCGATTGTCGACCATCCTTCAATATCCTTCAGCACTCGCAGTGGATTGTTGATGATTGTTGGCTGACATGATAAGGTGCACAATCTTTGTGAAAAGCTGAGGCAAACCAGCAACGAACGTCAACATGTGGCGATGTTGCTGCTTGCTGGTGGGGTGTGACCTGCATGTAACCCATGATGTTCTCAGAAAGCTACCGTGGCCGCTGCAACTCCGCCAAAGGCTTGCCAATGAGATGACAGTGACTTCGCCGCCTTTACTGTGAAAGACTCGTTTTACGATTCGTTGACGATGGGACCGACATACGCAACAATCACCTGGCCTTGCCAGAAGCAGAAGATATAAGAAAATCATGATTTTGTGCCAAAACATGCCAAAACACGGCTCATGGGACTGATATATCATATACGTATGGGGTGGCTGAAATATGCTGAAATGGGGTCTTCTGGTACGTATAACACATGGCATCGTAGACATCGGTAGACGATGATTTCACTGAGTTCCATTAGTTGTGTCTGGGCAATGCTTCTCTTTCAAATCCTTTCCAAACCTACCGTAACATACAGGCCGTTGCTCCACCGATCAGTTGAGTGGCGGTCACGGCGGTTCGGACAGTGAAACGTCGCCCGTTTCGCCCTTTTCGCATGGTCCAAAACCGACTTCGAAACGGATGTTCGCCGCAGGGACGTGGTGCGAAGAACATGTTCACTCCAAACGTGGCTGAGACAAAGTGGCTGCATTAAAGGGAACCTGGCAGCTACATATGGTAGCATACATGTCTGAAGATCGCAGGCTAGGGCTTGTGCTTCGAAATGCCAAACACTAACCACTACAGGACAAAAGTTGTAGTTTGCCTGAAGCTTCCACCCTGGTAACCCCGTGCCCTGGAAAGTCATACAGACTGATCACTCACAGAAGGTCAACAAGGCTGACAACCCTCGGACCCTCCATAGCAGGGGGGCAGTCCCTACATAGCAGAAGGTCTGGACCCTCAAAACCCTATATTTGCTCACATGTAGTGGATTAAGTGGGGGGATATCTCTCCTATCATGGGAGATTTACAAAAGATCGGAAGAGCTCCACCTTTTTTGACTCATCTCTCGGCTAAAGTTGCCCTTCCTTTTGTCTCTTTAGACCCCTTTTTCCCACATGCTCTGATCACACTATCCCTGTGCCGACCTGGTTACGTTAGGCGCTGGGATCTGCCACTGGATCACAGCGATGATCGATCTGCTCCTGCTCCTTCGCCTAGGTTCAGGTTGCGATGGATGTCTTTCAACCTCGAGCAACTACATAGGTGGACAGAAGGCATCGGCGGAATGTGGTTGCTAGTGAAATGGTCCTGAGAACTCATATTGGCATCAGGGTGTGAAGTTTCTTACTTGTTTCGGTCAGGACCTGATTTAACTTCCATAGACGTCTGACCACATACATAGACCGTCTAGGGTCCTTTAAGGTCTGGCCGCCAGCAGGGGAATTGCCAAGTCAGCTGTGGGACTAAGTCGCATGAATGAAGTTGCCGGCCTGCGTGTGGTTATGACAGTGATGGCGGGACATTCTGGGTTGAGTTGTCAAGCAACACGGAACTACTCGAGGTGGAAAAGGAGGAGCTTCTCCACTAAACAAACCCAGTCGATTCAAGCTTTGGAAGAGAAAACCTGTTGCTCTTTGAGGTAAGTTCACAACACAAAGAACAAGCACACCGTTTCTCCCACATGTAGCGGGCCTACTTGAGCCAGCTCGCTTCAGAATCGCCTCCAGGTGAGCTGTAACGATACGGGCTTGGTTGGTTGGTGAACTCTTAGCGAGCTGCCATCTTTGCTGGAATAAGAGCTGAGCAAAACATATAGCAAAGCCCTTTGCAAAGGGTAAATGGTGATGGGTCTTTCTCCATGATTCTCTGAGGGATGGGCAAACACTGAACGATGACTCAACGGCCCGTGGCGGACACGTGGCACGGGACACGGCCGGCTTTGCACCCAAGGAGCATCCCATGGGATGGGAAGAGTTACTGACATGAATGGCCTCATGCATGTCAGGGGTTAATGTAACGTACCCAAAGGATGCATGTGCCAATTATGTTGGTCTTGTTGTTTGTTCTATTTTTTGGGTGGTGAATGTCAATGTTGTGACCCGCTTTATGGAGAGTTTGTAACGTACCTATTCCAGTCCCATAATGCCATAACCTGGGAAGCATCAGTGGATTAGATGGTCTGTTCGAATGAAGGAGGACGTGAAGGTTCAACAGCACCCCGCCTGTTGAACCTCTGAAAGAGTTCGGCACCCTGACAAGGAACTGCTTGCACTGGTTAGCTCCAAAAAAAAGGGGAAACACTGCAGGCACACAGTCCGCCATGACTTTTGGTAGCCTGCAACGCCTTAGCTACAAGTTCATGTGGAAATTGTCATCCATTGTCTGTGGAAGTTGATGTGGAGATGGATCTGCTCACTCCTGCACAAGGTCAAGACACTGAAGCGATCCCAAGAATATCTTAGCCCTGCCCAGAAGGCTTTGGACTACGAGGACTCCTCCGGACTCCGGGTGGAAGGAAACCGAAGTTAGATCAGTTCGGAACTGGGAGAGTTCTGTGTCATACGTCCTCCCCACCATCCCCACCATCCCCACCGCCTCATCCATCAAAGCCGTCCGCCGCCGCGGCCGGACCTTCTGTCGAAACCTGGCGGCTTCGTCCCAGCGCGCGGGTCGTCCCACCGCGCGAAACCCGTGACGATGAGTCTGGGTGGAACCGCGCCGTGTGAGGACACTCCGGCATGTGCTTGCAACATTCCGCACAACCAGGTGGGGGCAAGGAAGGGGAACAAAAACATATTCAGACTAGGAGCGTGGTTACGATACCCAAACACAGCCTGAAAATCGTGAGAATATATGTCACTAGGTGTCATGAATTTTGAGCCATGAGGTCCCTCACGGGTCCTGGAAGTACTGAGTTCTGATCTCATACAGCACTACACTGAAAAGGTTCCTAAACCATTTTTGAAGTCGGCACTAGAAGTCAGTATATGTCAGCATCAACATATACGTATATTTTATTTATATATATATATACATATACTTAGTATATGTATTATATATCGAATCATGGAAGCTGACCAAGGGCCCTCTGGAAAAGGATGATTCTTCTTCCAGTGCTCGACTCCACGTCCACTCGTCGCTGCAGTGCGTCTCACGCCACGCGAGGCGACGGTCTCGGTCTCCCACGGCGAGGTGATGACCGTCTCCCAGGAGGGTGTAGAACTAAAAGGAACCCCCCCGGAGTGAAGGTAGCAAAGCTATGCAAAAAGGTGGTCGTGCACAGTCCACTGGGTGGAGCCATGTGCAAATGGTTTGGACATGGAATCGGTATGACTGGTAAAAAGCACAAGATGCATATATATATATAGAAGCATGCTTAGAATAGAAACCGGTGCACCAATCATCCCTCTACGACTTCGCCACGGCAAAAAGTGATCCTCCTCGGTCCACCCCAGAACAATCGGGCGCCTAAGGCGCGTCCCACTGGGTGTGGCAGCCAGTCGATTCCAGTGGCGTTGGAGTTGTAAACGCCGACGCCTTGGGGAGCACCGGTGTTTTTTGTTTGTCCCACCTCGTGTGCGTGTGCATGTGAAAACCGGAAACTGCAGGAAGCAAACAGAATCAAATTCAACTGGAGGGGAGCAGCTGCTGACGACGTCCGAATCCCCACTGGGACTTCAACGAACACAGGTCCGGTCAA